GCGGGAACCGCCCGGTGCCCCTGGTCTGCTGGAGACGGTCTCCAGCAGACCAGGGGCACCGGAGCAGCTTACCAACGGGGCTTTCTCGCCCGACTTCCGGGGCGAGAAAGCCCCGTTCGTAAGTGCGGATCCGACGTAAGTCGGATCCGCGTAAGTCGGGGACTGCCTGTATACTTGTACTCACTTAAAACTTCCTCTTCTTAGTTAAACAAATGTTTTATTCTGTAAATCAAAACTAATCCAGTGTTCTATTTAAACTGAATTGTACGGATAATGCCATTTTTCAAGTAGTAATTGCATAAGGATCCCCTTAGAAGGGCAAAAGAGTTAAAATATCTGAACTGTTCAGGAAAGAGCTGGGCCAGTACAGGACAGCAATTCAGGGGGAAAATATGGGACTGGCAGTGTGTTGGGGTCACCCTGAGAGTAATAACTGTTATGAGGCTGGAGTGCGTTGCAGCTATGCAAAAACTCTCAGGGTATGACCAGCATGCTATTTGTGAGGGGCTCAGATTGAGAGCTACATCAGTAAAGCATTGACACACACCTCGGGTTGCAAGGCAAAGATGACAGTTCCTCTAGTCTAGTTTGGACCCCAGAATGTCATATTCAACAACTATGTGTTTTTTGTATCTAGATTAAAAAGGAGATACCATATGAGAGAAGACCTGTTCTGTAACTGGTATTCTTAGAGATGTGTTGCTCATGTCCGTTCCACTCACCACATGCACCGGTGCCAAAACTTTTCCCCTTAACAGTATCCGTAGGGATTGGCTCTGGCACCCCTTGAGTGGTGACTGTATGGTGCAGTATAAGGAGTGTCACCCCCCCCACACACACAGCTCCTTCGTGCCAGAAACTCTGACAATGTGAAAGTAAGGCAATACATGGAATGAACACGAGCAACGCATCTGGAAGAACGCTGGTTATATAACAGGTAACTGTCTTTTGTTCAAGTGCTTGCTCATGCCCATTCCACGTTAGGTGACTCCCAAACAGTACCAACAGTGGAAGGCAGGAGTTCATGGATATGTTGCCTCTAGCACAGCTCTGTCAAACCCATCATCTTATCTGGCTTGCTGAGAGACAGTGTAGCTAGCTGTGAACACGTGGACTGAAAACCACACTGCAGCTCCAGGGTCAGAACATGAGCCAGGAATGCTGCTGAAGACTCCTGAGCTCTTACCAAGTGTGCTCTCACAATTGGTGACAATGGGACACATGCCAGCTCATAACAAAGATCCAAACAGAAATTCTTTGCAAGGACATTGGGGGGCCCTTCATTCTGTCCGCAGTCACAACAAAGATCTAGTTCGATTTCCAGAAGCGCTTGGTGCACTCCATGTAAACCACAAGGACCTGACTGACATCTAGCGTATGCAGCCTACTCTTCTCACCATTGGCACGTGGCTTGGGATAAAACACTATGAGGAAAATGCCCTGGTTAACATGAAAAGACAATACCACTGATGCTCATCTAGACAATGCCACTGTTACAAAGAAGGTGAATTCTCATGATAACTGAGCAAGGGAACAAAAGCCCAATGGTTTGAAGGATGGTTCTGAGAGTCTGAAGAGGACCAGACTGAGGTCCCACTGAGGGTTGGGATTCTTTGCTGGGGGTGAAGAGAAGAACCTTTTAAAGCCTTTCATGAACTAGGCTAACATGCAAAAATGCGGAATCGGGGTGGGCGTGGAAAATAAGGAGATGACTGCTAGATGAATCCTAATCAAAGGAAAGACCAAGTACTGATTTTTCAGGAAAAGCAAGCATTCCAACATGAACTGGAAAGATGAGCACATTGGGGAGATGATATGCTCAGACATCAAGAGGGAAAATCTAGTTCACTTTGCCAGGTAAGTCACTCTAAAGGAAGGCTGTTGCACTTCCTTGGAGTAAGCTTGCTCCTTCGGGTTCAACCATGAAGTTTTCATGCCATGAGGTGGAGGGATGTGAGGTTGGTATGCAGACGGCAACTGTGGTTCTGCAACAGACAGTCTAGGTGCTTAAGGAACTACTGCTAGATCCAGCAGCATCCTGAACCAATGCTGGCACAGCCACGCCATGGACCAATCAAGAGCACTCAATCTCGATTTTTGATAGGACTCTACTGGCAAATGTGATGGGCAGGAATTTGTACTTCAGGTTCCTCCGACAGGGAACAAGAATACAATTGCCAACACCCCACAGGGAGCAAAAACTAAAGACATATCTTGTTCTGCCATGTACAAACAGGTCCACTTGGGGCGGGCAGAGCCGGTCTTCACCAAGATTGAGGCCTGATGCCTCACATGATGCCTTTTAACAGCACCTGTAAGCTTTGGCCCTCTTTGGAAAGGGCTCTGTCTCTGTTGACTACACTGCCAGTGGAACCACTTATTTTGCTACCCTGAGACACTCAGGCCCAAAATCTTGAGAGCAGTGCTTGAGTCCTTGTGGCTGTGCAAATTATTGTGTTTTTTCTGCAAATAGAGTTTAGCCATCGAAGGGGAGGTCCTGGATGGACTGTTGTACCTCAGCTGACAAGCCTGAGAACTACTGCCAGGCCACCCTTCTCATAGAAACATGACATTTGTCACAGATATAAGACTCCTCTGAGCACTATAAACAGCTGACGTGGGGAGCTGTCAATAATCAACATAGGCGTTTTACAGAGGTCGCAGTTCCTAAACCCCAGGGACTGGAGCATGCCCCATCCCAAGGCTAAGGCCTGTCTGGGACACTAACTCTAATCTACAAGACATTAACAGAACTAATGATCAATAGTTATTGAACTATTTATAGCAGAAAGTTCACAATGAATGTATCTGGAGAAAGAAGCTTTCCCAGAGCAAAGAAACATTCCAGCACTAACTGGTGATAAGAAGAGACTGAGTAGGCAGGGGGCAGCAGTGCCATATGCATGCCACTTGAGGGGGCACCAGAGCCAGTCCCCTACGGACACTGCTTAGAGAAAAACTTTCACCACAGGTGCATGTGGCAAGCACACATATCTGACTTGAAATGGACATGACCAAGCACTCAAAGAAGAAAGGAAGATTTTCTGATAAAACACAGGTAAGGGTTTATTCATAAAACCCACCACTGTTGAGCACAGTCAAAAGATTAGTGCAAAAACATATGTTAATTGGTGAAGTTTCTCTCCACATCACAGTTTTTGCTTTGTAGGCTGTGTCAAGACGTCTGATTATACAATAAACCTAGTTATTAATGGATGAGAAAGAACTTTGCCAATTATAAGAAAAACAGCCGTCTATATCAGTCAGAAGTTTTTTTTTAAAAGTATCCAAACTTCTTCATGGCTGAATTAAGTACATACTCTATTTTTCTCTCCAATCACATCATAGGGAGTCATCCAGCATATAATGGCTACACTGAAGAGCAGTTTTTTAATCACTGACCCTCCCAAACTCTGTATATGCATCTCATCCTCCTAGACAAGATCACGTCTGCCTTTGTTTTGTATAGTACCTAGCATAACAGAGCACTGATCCTGGTTCTGGGCGATAAGAATTTAATAGATAAATCATAGTTAATAATAATGTATTAACAACTAAAGTTTTCTCTTTTTTTTTTTTTTTGTACATTTGCCAATCTATGAAAGAGACTGAGATTAACTTTTCCTCAAAACAAACTGCTAAAATTTAAAAAAAAAAAAAAAAAAAAGCCTTATACAGACACAAGTTTTTGGAGTTGCAAATATTAATCTACATGATTACCAATTATCTTGGGCAAGTCTAAAATAGTCACATTCCTGGTCAATCATTTTACTTTTCTCACATTCAGAACACTCTGTTTTAACTGTTTGACTGAAGATGCAAAAAAAAGTCACTTGCTAAAACATATCAGGACAAATCCTGCTCTTCTACCTTGCTGTGGGCATCCTTGGCTTGAAGTACATTGGGAAATGTCATATTTATGCAATTTGTAAGGGGATGCACATAACCCTCAGTGGACTAGAGCTGGGACAATCACTCAAAAGAAGAATCCACAATATCTCAAATACAGTGAAACCTTTGTTAACTGGAAAAGTTTGTTAACTGGTATTGCAGCCCTGCTGATTGACGACGTCAGCATACACCTCCTCCCCCCTCAGCCTGCCTCGAGCCTGCCTAATCTTTGCTTGAGTATCCAGTACATTCAATTAACCAGCAACTGGCATTCACCGTGAGTACCAGATAACAAAGCTTTCACTGTATTAGCATAAAATGGTCCACAGTAGATTAGAGCCAGGAGACCTATGAAGCAGTGGGGGTATGGCTTACTAGTCTTTGCACAGTGTGTGTGGTATAAAGATCCATATCCACCGCTATTGCCTACTAACTAGTATTGATCATGGCCTAGCTATACATAAGACCAATGCTTGCTAGCACTTTTGCAGTTCTCCTGCATCTATTTTGGGGACATCCTATTTTTCCAAATACACTGCACAGTCATTTACTTACCAGCTGACATTCTGAGGTCGAATTATGATTTTTCTGTATGCTCCAGATAATGAATAATCTCGAATTTTATGTCTCATGTTGTTGATATCAAGGTTGTCAGCAGCTAACATTTCCTTGTAGGCATCACCGACTACAAGAAAAGGAAATATATTTAAAGACAATGAAATCAACTTAAAATTAAATAAATTAAAATCAGATTAAGTTTTAAGTGATTGTGCAAATTAAAAATACTTACTTTTATGTTTTGGATATATAACATCAAACCCAGGTAATGGCATCACTATATCATGGAGAGTATAATCGTCAACATCTGCTTCTTCAATATGAACAGCCGTTGCTACAATTCAAACAATTTTCTATTTAAAACATACAGGTATGTGACATTTTTCTAACTGTCACAGTCACGTATTGTTAACTGAATTTAAACGTATCGGATTACTGATGGATGAAGCAAACACTGTGTTGAGTCTTCATTTACTGACAGAATTTTCCTAAAGGAAAGTGCAAGAGTCTTAGAAAGTTTACAAAGATATTATGCACAGTGACTATGATTTGTAGTTTATTTTACCTCCTTTAAGTACGAGGTCTCCTGATATAGGTTTAAGTCCATATTCTTCTATTCTCTTGCTAACCATGTTATTCCATATATAACTCTGATAGCTATGAATATACATCAAACGATTATTCCTTGGGATCTGCAAGTGTAAAACATTTCAATAAATAATAAAGATATTTTTAGTTATTTTCCCCAATCAGCTGCGCTTAATGGATAAATGTCATTTTTTCAGTCACACAGTTAACACACTGATGTTTATGTTATATACTATATTTCTGGTCTTAATTTGAGAGGAATTTACTTAGAAAGAAGGCAAAAAAAGTATGCATTAGCCCCTCAATACAGAAAGCTCATATTTTCATTTTGTGCAATATTTTGCCAAGTATACTGCTGATGTAGGCATGAGTCCCATTTTCAACACTGAAAATCAGTACTTATTAATTTTGCATACATTTGAAGGTTTAAAAAACTGTTAGGATCATTCACTCTGACGTCCTGCCTAACACAAACCATGCAACTTCACTAGAAATTCCTCAAGCCCAGTAACCCATGGTTGCAGTAAAACTATTTTAGGAAAATATCCTTTAAAAAAAATCAAGACTTCAAAGTTATGGCAAATCTATCATATCCCTTACAACTTGTTCCAATGGCTAATTGCTCTCACAGTTAATTTGATTTGATTCTCTAAAGGCACAAAGAAAATCTGATCTTAAATCTTACACACAAGTAAGAGATAGCTATATAATTCAGATAAGTAAACTAGCATCCAACTAGAATTCTGTTCTCCCATTAATGTACATTAATAGGAAACTTACACATTATTAATTACGCATTAGTTTAAGTCTAGATCCCTTACTAGACACTGTGACAGTACTTCAAGGGAACACAAAAGAAAGAAATAGATGGATTTAAAGGGTTTATACTTAGTCTATTTAAAATGTAATGTAACACCACAAAAAGAAAACACATGCACACACACAAAAACCTCCCAACCTTTTTACACTCACTATGCCAAATGCAGAGACTACATTCTTCAATCCATACTTTGAAAGTCCACGTAGAAGTTGTCCTTCCACACATCTTTTTACAGGCAGTTTTTTGAGGGCTGCAGCTGGATCTTTAGTCTTTGCCCACTCTTCTCTGCATTTAACTAAATATCCTTTCTCAGCTGTAACCATAATTTAAGATTTACATTTTTAACTGCAAAACTTTTACAAAATTCAAGTTTAAAATATCAATGTTTTAGTGATCGTTATTAAAAAAGGAGCCACTTTTTTTTAGATTCTCTACTAGAAGAGCTGACTAATTTGTTACCCTGTAGTTAAAATGCACTAGGAGTACATGACTCATGATGGCTTGTTTAAAGAAAATGTACATACATGTAATTATAAAGGGTTAAAATACATGTAAAAAATATCCCTGTTCAACAGTGTCACTGATACATAAATCTACATATACAATCTAATATTTACTTCCTGCTAATATACCAGACTATTTGTTGTTTAAGTTTATCCTGTACAGACTAATTCGGCTACCCCTCTGATGCTAATACAGGCAGTCCCCGGGTTACGTACAAGTTAGGGACTATAGGTTTGTTCTTAAGTTGAATTTGGACATAACTCGGAACTGGCTCCAGATTCAGCCGCTGCTGCTGAAACTGACCAGGGGCTGACTACAGGAAGCCCGAGGCAGAGTTGCTCTGCCCCCAGCTTCCTGGAATCAGCCACTGATCAGTTTCAACAGCGGCTGAATCTGGAGGCTGGGACAGAACAGCTGGGGCGCTGCCAGGTAGGTCCCCCCAGGACCAACCCGGCAGCACCCCAGTTGCTCTACCCCAGGCGTCCACAACAAAAGCCTGGTCTGCTGGGGGGGGGGGGGGGGGGAC